TGCTTCTGCTCTGGCTCTTCAGATGCGCGTCCGGCGTCGGTTTTGTGTTAAAGCCCCGGGTTGTGCCGGGCTCCGCGCACGGACGGTGCGGGGAGCGGGTTTTGGAGGACTCGAGGCGAGGCGGCTCCTCACGGCTTCCCTCAGCAGCCGTCCTGGCAGGAGGGGCCTCTTGAAGCGGTGTTTTGCTTATTTTTTCCTTGAAGCCCGTGGCAAGCTAGCGGGGAAGGCTGAGAGCGCCGTCCCGCCTCCCGATGGAGGTTTCTAGTCAGGGCAGGTGGTAACGAGCTGACTCACGAAACGTATCAGCCCGCCGAATATTGTCAGTCGTTAAATCGCGGCCGTTTCCACGCCGCCTGAATGGACAACACGAACTCTACTGTGTGAGCCGCTCCGTTTCGCAGCCTGCCTGTGCCTCCTAAAATTAATGTTTCAAAGCAGAGAGGCGGTGGTAATAGATGGGGTGTCTGTGCCTATGGTGGCTGTCACAGTCGCTGTATCCCCCCGCGTTTCGATCATGCGAGTCTGAGTAACGTATGTCGAAGTCTGGAGCAACCCTGAATGCAAAAACGAGCATTGCTGAAGAGTGAAAAGGCTGTTGGGTGCTTAGAAAGTTTCTGGATTCTGTTGGGTTGGAAGGTTCGCTTGGCTGCACGCTCTGGAGCCTTTTCCCTGATGTGTAGGACCAAGATGCAGCTTGATTGCTACTGTAGTTATCAGGAGCTGCTCTTTTTTACTACTCTAGAACAAAAAAGTGCATATGTGGAGCATAACTAAATATCATTTTTACTTGATGATATTGGCAGTATCCAAAGACTCTGATGGTCACGTCTGAGGTATTATGTGGTGCTTTGTTCTGTGTGCTTTAATTGAAGAGTCTTTGTCTTTGAAGCTTTCCTTTTTGTATCCCACTGCCGTCAGCTTTTTTTGTATTTTTGTTGTTTAACAGATGATGGTGAAGATGATGACTCAGATTCTCATGCTGAAATGGTAATGTTTCTCTTTAAGCATACCTGTCTGTCGAAGGGAGCAGGAGGAAAAGGAATTCCATTCTCTTCTGGGGAAATCTAGGCAGCTGGCTTGACTCTGTAGCTCAGGAAGGATTAATAATAGACCTGGAGGTTTAGTTATTCCTGCCCAGGACTTTGTTATTCACATGTAATAGAGAGACTTCTTCATGGGAAAACAAATGTCAAGGGTCAGAGGCCTTGCTGCTCTGGCACTTGCTGATCTGTCACTGGAAACACACCAGTGTCTGGAGGGGTCGCAGAGAATTGCACATGAGAAAAAAAAATGACCAGCTTGTGATCAAGAAATCTTGTACTTCTTTGCACCTGAAGAATCCTGGGTTTGTGCACAAGAGGGAAATTACTTTTAAGACTTTTTACACATCTGTTTACTTTTGGTGTTGTTTTAAACCTATTTTCTCAGACTTCACGTGAAAACATTTAGCAGGGAAATATCTTACACCTGTCCAGCAGAGGAACGGAGGAGCTAGCTTGTGAGGACAGAGCTGCTGGTGCAGTGGCCCCAGGTGCAGAGCACTTTGGTGGAACAGTCAGAGCCCTGCTCTGTGTCCAAAGCACGTGGTAGTAAGTCACGTAGGGGAAGAATTGCTTCAGTAGGAGCACAGATGGGGTGGGAATGTGAAGGGGTGGTTCTGAAGTGCAGATTTAGCAGGTGAGAGAGCTCCAGTGTAAAGCAGTACTATTTCAACAGTTTCCTTGGAGTTTTGCAGTTGATGGCACGAGACCAGGCGTTGGCAAGGTTTGGAGTCAGACTTTGGTTCAGAGAGCAGCAGGCTGAGCTCGTGAAGAGGCGGCTGGTAACTGCCTCTGGGAGCGTTCAGAACGACTGCCAGGGAGAGCCAAGCAGTTATGTACCTCCAAATCTTTGGAAAATCAGTTCTTAAGATAATAGAAGTATTGAGTTACAACCGTAGTTATGTACTTGCTTTTAAAGCAAGCATTTTTCTCTCTCTTTTCTTTTATTCCCCCTCCCTCTAAAATGCCTTATTTGCTTCCAGGAAATGGAAGGAGAAGATGACAGTAGTGATGATGATATTGAAAGTAGTCTGCCACAGGATCCAGAAACATGTCTGCAGATGAACCATGTGTACCAGGAAGTTATCCAGGAAAAGATTGAGGAAGTCGAGCTTCTCATTGCTCAGAACAGAGAGCAGCAGGTGAGCAAAGCAGGAGTGAAATGTCCATTCCTGTGCTTTTCTGTGTTGCCATTTGCCATCTTCCCCTGCCCATCAAGCCCCATAAAACTTCCCAGGACATTCCTAATCCATCGCAGCCACCAGTGGAATCAGCTGCAGCAGTCGTAGTCCCTTATTCACACACTGGTGCAGTGCTCAGCTTGCTGGGCCAAGAACCAGCTTCATTTTCTTTATGGCGGTTCAAACCAGTGTCACTTGACTGACCTTTCAGGTGGCTTATTTGACTGATGTTGCCATGCTCTCTTATCACCAAAAATGCTACCACTGGGGTACTTTACATCTTACGTTTTAGCTTGTTGTAGCAAGTCAGTAATTTTTAGGTTTTTTTAATCGTCTGCAGTGTACGATACAAACTTAGGAAGTTCCAAATCCTGTATTTAACACATACACTGATGTACAGCCTGGTGCTGCAAATTCGAGCCCTGCCTGGGATGTTTGTGATGGCTCAGCCACTGCTCTCTGAAGTGACGAATTTGAAGGAGACATTAATACTGTGTAATTGATTCTTGTATTGCAGAAGGAAATCATGTGTGAGCTTGGTGGTCCAAAACCAGCAAAGGCAGGAGATGGTAGAAGTCTACCAGCAAATGTATTTTTGGGTCATTTTATGAAGCCATACTTTAAGGATAAAACAACAGGAATTGTAAGTAGACATAACTGGGTGACATAGTGCTACGTCTTTAAATCATAACTGTGTTAAAACCACGTTAAGTTTCTGCTGTAACTGCGAGTGTCGCTCCTGAGTGTGAAACCTCTTTCTTTCTCTCCTCGCTTGTTGTTTGCTTACCCTCTTTTGGAAATGTTTGTTCAACCAACTGTCACCATACATATGTTAATATAAAATTCAAGCAATGACTGATAGTTTGTCTGTTAATTCCTACCCAAGGTGGTGGTGCATCTCGAGTAGGTACAAACATGTGTAATGCGTGTCCCCGCGTTCTTCATGCTGCTTCAGCCGGCTGTCGGCTCATGGCTCTGAGCTGAGAATGTGCTGAGTAACTACGGACAAACTTACTTGCTTGAAGCGTCTGTTTGTATTTGTTTTGTCTTCTGAGGTGTCTGTAAGCTAGTGTTAATAAAGGTAGTGTGGTGGTTTGCACAAGTTTGAGGTACCGGTCTTTTTAGGTAGGTGTTCATGCTAGAGTGGTAAGAAGAAAGGGCAATTTGTGTATCCAACTCTTCCACTGTATCTAACCCTTCTAATCTTTGTTAGGGCCCTCCTTCCAACGAAGACACCAAGGAGAAGGCAGCTCAGGGCATAAAATCCTTTGAACAACTGCTTTCAACAAAATGTAAGTCACTCCGGGCTGTTCAGTGTTCTATAGGAGCTATAACCGATGTGTATGTTCGTATCATCAGTTCCCACCCCACCATTTGCAGTTAAACATCAACACTTCGGATATTTCATACCTGAGGCCACAAAAACCCCAGCAGTTAAAAGCAGCCGGGCTGCTCTGTGCATTGTCTCACTGAGCGAGCAATGACTCGCTGCTTTCGTTTGCGTTGGCTTTGATGCATCGTTAACAACTCCTGTGAGCACTCCCAAACCAAATGAGCTTGTGCAAGGGTCGTGCTCAGATGAGAGACGTTCAAGGGACACTTAGAACTCTAGAGGGTTACAGACCCCTGGGTGATGATCTCTGTTGAGGTCTCTTTGGATCTAAAACTGAGCAAGAGGCTGTGACTTGCCCGAGTCAGATCTGACATTAGTGATTTGGTGGAGAACAGAATCAATTCACCCAGCCTCTGGTAGCTGCTTTGCCCAACAAAACTGTGTAGCTAGTGAAGATGAGCTGTTATTGAAGACCTGGGGGATACTTTAACAGTGGTATTGGAAGCAGTGGATCTTTCTTGGCAGGGGTTTTGTGCTAACACCTGAATGCTCGGTTGCCTCGTTTTGTCTAGGGAAAAGCAGAGAGAAGACCTTGCTGCAGAAATCGGTCATAAGCGACCGCTTGCAGCGCCTGCTTCAGCCAAAGCTACTGAAGTAAGTACTGTGCAAAAATCTTTCTCCTGATGACAACATGATTAATGAAGACGGGAGAGGATCTATGTGGAAATCCCGCCTTCCTTCAGTGGGGTCTCGTGCTGCCCGTTTGTGGGTCTGCGAGGCTACAAACCACAGCAGAGATACTTTGACTGTCGCTGTTGGGCCTGGGAGAGCCGCTGGGTGAATTGCAGCAGTGGTCCCCAAAGTCCCCTGTCCCGTGGGCACCAGTGCAGGCGATGACGCTGTTGTAGGCAGCAGCGTCTTTCGTTGTTTGTCAACATCTGTGTTAGCTGTGTGTGCCCGTGGTACCGAAGGGTCTCGGACTGCCATGCTCCGACCTAAGCAAGAGCTTACAGCATTTGGGTTGGGTTGTGAAGACTTGGTGATTGTTTTGCGGGTGTCTGGCGGGTGGAGAGGTTTTGTTTCAGAGGTATCGTGGCGTTTCACAGCCATCCATTTCCTCCCATTGACACAGTGGTATAACTTAAAATAGTCCACGGGGCTTGAAGCTGAAATGGTGATAGGCAGCGAGTCATGATGGTGTGTCCAGTGAGAGGTTTCTGTGCCTGGAGCGAGCGTGGTCTCTCTTCGTTGCTGTTGCAGCAGCCATTGATTCTCTCTGTCAATACCAGAATGATTAATCTGAGACCTGTTGTGGGTCAATGATTTGCAACTGAAGGGGCAAAAATAGAACAATGAGTGTGCCACGTGGGAAAACCTCAAACAGCAGCAGTTTTGTGTAGCGTGGAGATAAACTTGGAGGAAAGAATGATACTGATGGGGAAACCATCATAGGTATAGCCGTAGGTGTTCTGATGCCATTGATCTTGTTCCCATCGAGTCCTGTTAAGTAACGATAAAAATGTCTTTGAACAGGTTGAGTTACTGGAATCAGAAACTGGAAAAAGTCAAAACTGAAATGGAGAAACAGATCTTGGAAAAGCAAATCAAAGAGCTGGAGCAAGAAATAGAGGCAATTAAGTGAGAAATCTTCTTTTTATGTGTTTGGTGAAAACGGAAGTCTGTTCTTGGAGCTTACCGCTTAAAATTCCCTCCTTCCTGGAGTGCTGCTAGATGTGACATTTGGAGAAAGCTTTATTTGTGGTGGCTTGCAAAACATTAAGTGCTGTTCAAACTCAGTAGAGCTGTCATCTCCACAGTTCTTTACTAAGAATTGTGTTTTGGGGCTTGATACACAAGTGTGGTATCTGTCCCCCATGTAGAGGTGGTGCTTTAAGTAGTTCTTGATTTAGCAACAAGGAGGCAGAGAGCTCAGTAGTTCTGAGCTTTCGCTCATGAGCACCGCTGGAGCCACATATTTCGATACTGTATTAATTGTTTCTCTTGCTACAACAACATCACCTTGTAGGGGGCTGTTTTTCAAGAAGAAACATTGTTTTGGGCAAAGGTACTGTGTTAAAGAGCCCGATGCTTTGAGCCAGGAAGTGTTTAGCTCTTGTGGAAATCAGTAACAGGTGGGAGGAGTAAGATGAAGCAAGATCAGGAAGACAACAGGACTGTTTCCTTAACCATTTAATGGGCTTCTTTCTTTCTCTTTGTACCTTCCGCTTCAGCCAACTTCCAGAAAGTGACTTGTTAGGGAACAGATTCGACGAGCACGACTGGGAGAAAATTTCAAACGTCCACGTAAGTTGGGAGATGAGCTGTTCTGTTACTTCTGGTGTCTGTGTCCCTTCTCTTGAGAATCACTGGCCTGGTCTAGCTTGTGCTTCTTGAAGTTGAGTTATGTGAACTCAACTTGGCAAGCACAGAAGTACTGAAAATTTGATGTTATTGGTTAAATTTGATGATTTCATTCTGGAAAACTTAGCAATAGGATGTACCTGGAATGCAAAACACATTCCTTGTGTCGGCGTTCCCGTCTGTCCAGGTGTCCAGTCCCAGCTACAAGACAAAACAGATTTTTGATGTTTCTTTTAGTTTGATGGACAACGTAGCTCAGAAGAACTGAGGAAGTTTTGGGAAAACTGGGAGCATCCAAGCATCAACAAAAAGGAATGGTCTGAGGAGGAAATAGAGAGGCTAAAGAAGATAGCTGCTAAACACGGTTATCTGGACTGGCAGACTATAGCCCAGGAGCTGGGGGTAAGGACTTCTGAGCTCAGATACAAGTGTGAGAAGTCTGGTAATTCTGACTTAACTGTGCCTCGTGCCAGTTTTCAGAAAATCGTGGAATAGTTTGGGTTGGAAGGGATCTTTAAAGGCCACCCTGCAGTGAGCAGGGACATCTTTAGCTGGATCAGGTTTCTTCAGGGATGTTTCCGGGGATGAGGCTTGTACCACCTCTCTGGGCAACCTGTTCCAGCGTTTCACCACCCTCACTGTAAAAAATGGAGTCCTTATATCTAATCTAAATCTATCCTCTTTTCAGTTTAAAATCATGTACTCTGTGTCCTATCGCAACAGGCCCTGCTAAAATTACATTAATGTTAATTTGTTGTTAATTAATGCTTTTCTAAGAAGTGTTCCAAGACCAGTGCCACAGAAGTTTGGTACTTTAGCCTTGCCCTCTTGCTTTTTGTCCTCATTAATATCCCGTTATCTGTGTGTCTCTGTTTTCGTGGGATTAAGACGAACAGGACACCTTTCCAGTGCCTGCAGAAGTATCAAGTCTATAACAAAGATTTGAAAAGGAAAGAATGGACGAAAGGTGAAGATCAGATGCTTTTAGAGCTTGTTCAAGAGATGAGAGTGGGAAGTCATATCCCGTACAAGAAAAGTAAGTGGCCCACAAGTGAAAACGTCTTCCCTTCGCCTGTAAAGGTTGTTGGGTTTTTTTCATTCCCCCAGGCTTGTGCCTGGCGGTGTTTCTGCATACTGGAGCACCCAGCCTGCTCCCATTCAAGGAATTAATGCAGTTTGTTTCCTATAAATGTTTTCATTGCCAGGATAGTCTCAGTTCTAGGTTTTCATCTTACCTTTCTAGCCTGTGATCTAGACAGGGCTGCGGCTCATCTGAAACGATGATTGTACCTGTTTCCAAAAAACGCTTGTTGGTGAGCTGAGTGGAAGAGAATGGTTGAGTCTTTCCTCTTTTTCCTTGGTGGGAGCAGTAATACGTGCCTTCCCTGTACCTACCTGGGAGTTTCGTTATATCAGCAAGAACTTAGTATCTCTCGGGACCCTTACCCACCTTTGAAACTTGGTTGAAACTGGCCGAGAGTTATTAACAAGTGCTGATGGTTGTGTGAGCTTTGTTCCTTGTAGCAAAACCATCAGGGTTCTTCCCTGGCAAGCCAGTAGTCATTCATGGCCAGCTGTTCTGGCAGCTTTCAGCGCTGTGACCAGCGTCGGCGCTGCTGCCTGTTCCTCGGGAGCGTGGAGGGCAGCATCGAAACAGTAACCGAGTGTCTGGGGTCCTAAATCCAAGCCGACGAGTATTCACACCCGGTGCCTTGAAGCTGTCAGATACGTATTGGAGCTGAACCCTTTCCTAGTTCTCTGTGGTTGCAAGGTGAATTGTTGGGTCGTCGTGTGTCTGGTGTGGGTAATGCCGTTAGACATAGTGACGTTTTGTGTAACCGTGCTCTTCCAATTCTTGTCGTGAACCGTTGTTTTCAGTATTTAAGCTGCTTGTGGTTATCCACTGTTTGAAAGTCTCGCAGTTACGGTGTCAGTAAAGGAAGGAACGCTGTTTGCCACGGAGTTTACAATACACCTTTGCGTTTCTAGTTGCTTACTACATGGAAGGAAGAGATTCTGCTCAGCTGATTTACCGATGGACGAAGAGCGTGGATCCCAGCTTGAAGAAAGGGCCCTGGACACCGGAGGAAGATGCTGTAAGCTCTGTTCTCTGGCGGCCGGCATTGCAGGGGGAAGGTTGGACTGTTGAGGTGTTGCGTGGCTTTACACCTCTGAGCTTTAACAGCGGCACAAAGCAACGTAAAATGGGCTGAGATGGGCAGCTTACAAGTCAAGAGGGCTTGGCAGCTCCTTCTGTTCAGAGATTTACAGCACAGTGGAAACAAATAGAACCGTTTCTGTCTCAGGCCTGTTAGGATTAGTACCAATGAGAATTTCAACTCTTGCTTTCTCTGATGAACGTAGATGCTGTTGGCTGCGGTTAAGAAGTACGGAGAGCGCGACTGGTATAAGATTCGGACAGAAGTGCCGGGGCGGAGCGATGCTCAATGCAGGGATCGGTAAGGACGCTAAACGTAGCAGCTCTGCTTTCAAGTGTGCTGCACAGAGCCGAGATGCAAACACATGGGATTTGTTTGAAGTAGTGTCACCTTGAGGAGGGTTCTGTGACAGTGGTTATGGTCTAAATAGAGCCACTACCATTGTCTCCACCTAACCCTGCATTTGCAGTTACAGAAGTCAGAAAGTTGAAAGGGAGTTTGACAGAGAAGACAGCACGTTGTTGCCCGTGGGGTGCTGCTCCCTCACTGTAGTTGCCTGTGGGTTAGCAGAGGTTTGGAAGGATGTTGTACGAAATAAA